ATTTAAAATAATATTTTAAATGTTATTAAATAATTTTAATGTAAATATTTAAATGCAAGTTATAAGAAAATTAAACAAAAACTTTACAAATAATAAAAAAAATTTATATTTTACCAAATTGTTTTTTTATTGTGACTATATTTTTTTCGTTAATTAAATGAATAATTTTGATTAATCTTTCTTGATTTTTCATTACTGGCCAACTGTAAAAAATAAATATTTCATAAAAATTTATATAAAGTTGTTTTGAAGCTACACATATATAAAAATACATTAAATTTAAAATAAAACCTATGTTAAAAGCTATGTTTTTGTATATTGGGTATTTGAGATAATTATTTTATTTAATTTATTAGAGGCAAAAAGCTTACAACTATATTTAAAAAGAAATTTTAGAAAAAACAGTCCATAAAATCAGCAATTTTATTTATCAACATTTTGAATTCTAATAATGACATATTAAAATTTTCTGAGTAAAGTCAAAATAAAAAAAGTTTGTCAAATTTATTTCTAAAATATTTTCTAATTTTACTATTAAATTAAAATAATTTTGACAATTTTCTAAATATATAAAAACTTACCCTTCTTTTGTAAGAAATAGAAAACTTGCGGGTAGACTAGGTATTTGGGAACACATAAACCTTCTTAGTTCTTCGGCATTTAACGTTAATTTTTCTAATACAATTACACCAAGAATTAATTTCCATTGATTTGAATTATCAGTACTATTTACTTTGTTATTATTAAGTTCTTCAGATAAAGATATGCCAAGTATAACGTCTGAAACAGAAAGTTTATCTGTCATCTCTTCTGAATTATTGTTGGCAACATTTATAACATTCATTGTGTGAGACAAATCATCACTATGATTTGCAATTAAAGCTAGAGTTCCAGGTAAATCCAAAGACTCAATATTGTCATTGGAGGGTGAATAAAGCTTCTCTGGCATAATTAAAATTTTGCAAATACCAAACAGTTTGATGAATTCTGGTTTTTTTACATAATCTGTTAAAAAAAAATGTATTTAAATACATAAAAAAATATACATATATTATATACATAATTTTCAAAAATTCAGTCACTAATATAATTGATAACAATTCTTTAAATTAAAAATTATCTTAACTTCCAATATGTTTTTCATTAGTAAATTATACTTAAAAAAACAACAAATTAGAAGAGAAAAATAAAAATATACCAGAAATTAAATAAAGATTTATTTTATTTCTCAATTTCTCAAAGCATATGTTCCAGAGAAATTAGGTCGGTCTTGACAGGTTAAATAATACAAACCATTTAAAGAGCGAAATTAAAATAAGTTAGAAATTAGAAACCAAAATATTCTTTGCAAGCAACTAAAATAAGGTGAAGCAATGAGAGTTAAAGCAAAGATAACTATTAAGCTGTCAAGTAGTAGTAGTAACAGAAGCTAGATCTGAGAATGCTCTCTTTCCTCTTCTGAAGGATACTGATGACCAATGAACAGCATTGATCATCAGCATATTTTCAATGACACTTTTAATGGTTTCCAAAGCAAGGATGAGATAGTTGAATAAGTTAATGAATTTTCATGTCATTAATTGAATTATTCAGGTTAAGATTCTTAAAGAAAAATGATTTATTAACACAATTGATGATGATGATGATGATGCTTGACAAGAACCTATTTTATATACTCTCTTCAGCACTTTTTAATCTCTAGGAACCAATTTTCTTGGGCAACCTGATCTTTGCTGACCACCACAGTTGATTTTGGATGAGTAAGAATCTCTGATCTGTTAGTGTCCACACACATGCAACATCCAATGACCATCGTCATCTGTCAAGTTTTGACCATCCCCAACTGTCTGACATGCACAGTACTACTATCAGAACAACTGGTTCAGACATTTTATCTTATAAATACATATGCCATGTGTTTCTGAGTGAATTTTCCATATTTTACAGGAGTATCCAATCACTTTTTACAACAGTGTATTAACATAAAGCAAGTTAAGCTAGTAATCAGGAAGGATCAGAGTTATTACTCAGTTTATAGAAAACTATTTCATACTCAGCCTGAAGATCTATTTTACTATAAACTAACTTCTTAGTTATTTTATGAGAAGTATGAAATAAAATTATGAAATAAATGAAATAAAAATGCATAAAAATAATCACAGGAACTTTCAACTATTTATATATAGTAATAAAGAATATACTTTAAAAATGTAGTATAGGAAAAGAAACAAATATAGGTAAAAATCTCTCTTCAGAGTATTTAGATATTTTACTTTCCTAACTTTTATAACAGAGGAAAAGTATGGCAATCTGGCAAAATAGGATCCTCTCAAGATTTTTACATTTTTGGACTTAAACACCTTGAAATGTCAAAAAATGCAAAATAATTCGGGGGTAATTTTTGTGTGTGAGAGGCACAATTTTGTTCACCCTCTCTGAAGCTTAATAACTCCTGAGCCTTTTGTCAAAAATTTCTGAAATTTTGGAGGGAGGTTTGTGTATTAGGTGGATTAATATTGTTAAATTTTGATGGTTAAAGGTCAAGTGGTGGGGGAGATAAAGGGCATCATGTGTATCTCCAGTAGGGTCGGACTTAATGACAATTTTACTCATTATTAGCATTTACAATTTTTTATAAAACTCATCTCTACCCTCAAATTTAAGCTTTTTGCCATTTTATAATAGTTAAAAATATAAAAAAGTTTTTCAATAAAATATAACAACAGATGGTGCCACCAAAATTTTAAATGTTGCCAGGAAAATTGAGCAACTCATTGGTGGTTTATTTTTTATTGTAAAAAAAATTAAAAAGGATAAAGATTGAGAAGCTTTTTTTTAAAAATTAGTGTGTTTGTAACTTTACAGACCCGCTATGCAGACCTGCCATAAGCGGGCGTGCACCGCACACGGGCAGCACATCCAAGGAGGTGGCAAATCAAGCGATCGGTCACGTAATATTCAAAGTCATTGTCATAATACCCACCCTACTTATAGCATAAGAAATGTCTTCGCAAGGAGAAAAAAATCTGACCGGCACGAAATTACTATATTCTTATTTATACAGTAGACCCCCCTATAACGTGGGTTCATATAATGCAGATTCGTATATCGCGGCAAAAAAATTGCGACCGTATTCGTATAAAGACACTAAAAGAGAGTTGTAAAATGCGGTAAAACGTCATCACCGACTCGTCTCACAACAGGATTGGTCGAATCTGACCAATAGTGGAAGAGCAGCCGAACTACTTACACGCTACGGAGAGTTTAGGCAGGTTAAGTTGAGTTTACTATCGTCTGTACAGTATATAAATTAGGTACTCTAAGTCTAATACAGTACTGTAATTTTATACATTTCTTGTGAAAAAAACATTTCTTATTCAACGGCCATAAAAATTATTTCTATTAATGATGTCTCCAAAGTTCAATGAATTTTTCACAGAAAAATAACTTATCAGAAAACACGCCCGCCATTTGGTGCACTGCTCCATGATGAAAACAAGCTTAAGCAATGGCATCGTCAAACAATGCACACTCAGTAAGTAATCCTACAATTTTTTGTTTATAGCATAGTTTATACAGATTATTCCAAAAAAATTATATGTGTTTTGGAAACGTTGAGTCAAATTAGTATAGAATTGATTAATTTTATGCAAGAAAACCTTTCAAACAACTGTAGTCCGTAAACTGCACACGTGCTGGGCTGTGATTGGCTCATGTATTTAAGGATTCCTACAATGTGAAATTCTTATAAAGTGGAACGTATCTACTGCGTTATAGGGGGTCGACTGCATTATAGCGTTAACAGTGCCTCTATTTGCATTTATCAGAATTAATATGCAATGTGAAACATCTATCGGCAGGTTGAACCATCTGGCGGCGCCCGAAAGCCAAGTACCCATAGTAGTGCTCTATGACAGAAGTTGACAGGACTGGCAAAAATAGGGAATCCCCACAGAGCTTCCTTCTCAATTTGTACTTGTACGCATTCGAACAGTTCTATCGCATATCAAATTGCAATTATTTTGTTAATAATTCTTCTGACATGAGTCTAAGTATAATTAATGATATTTTAACTTGGTTAGGATTTAAATCTGAAGATTAAAGATGATTCAAGTAGTGAAACAGACATTGACAGTATTGATTTGTTTAATGAAATCAATACTTTAAAGTTGCATTTTCCAGAAAACAAGTCTAATGATCCACAAACCCTATTACAGTATCTTTTTACTAATGACTTAATTTCAACATTTCCAAATACAGCAATAGCAGTAAGAATATTACTTACATTGCCGGTTTCAGTTGCCTTTGGTGAAAGGTCCTTTTCAAAGTTAAAAATTATAAAAGAAAACTATTTAAGATCAACAATGCACCGGCAAAGACTAAGTAATTTAGCTATAGTTTCAATTGAACATGGATACCAGAAAATTGATAGCAGATTTTACAAACATAAAGACAAGAAGAGTTCAATTTCTGTAGATAAATATTTATATGGTTTTACACTTAAGTAAACAAAAATAACTTAGTAATAATAAATAGCTTTTCTTTGTAAAGTATTTCTTTTCTTTTTTCACACCCTTATGAGACAACACTAAAGAGCCTTTCTGGCAAGCTCAGCGTAGATAGTCGTAGTTAAACATGGGGCAGCATAATCGGTATTGCACACAAGGCATTCGAACAGCTAGCGGCACTCCTGAAGCTATGATCCATAAATGATGTTATTAAATAAAAAGGTATAGTCAGGACCTTTCAGAAAAAATGAGAGGCCTAGGGTAACTAATATTTTAGAGATACTTCAAAATTTAACATGCAATTGTGGACAAGGAAATAAATTCAATGGTATTTAATATTTTTTGGATTATTACATTTAATTATTTTACAGAAGCTTTGCATGCTTTAAAATTAGCAAAATTCACTGATTATTTCTGAATAGTCTAAAATACATGCTATCTGGTAATTAATGTTAGTGTTACTAGTCCATTTAATCGTTCCTGACACATTGTTGATCGTAAACAGTTTTTAATTCTTTTCAGAATACTAAATGATCTCTCACCTTCTGCTACACTCACAGGCAACATTAAAAAAATTTGAAGCACAATCATTATATTGGGAAATATGTTTACAAATCCCATTTTGATAATTTCTTTAAGTAATTCTGCCGGTTTCATGCTTAATTTAAAATTGGATTTGTAAACACGCTTCAGCAGTATTAGTTCTATAATCTCATCACTTATTTCATTTTTATATTTCTCTAGCAATAATTTTTCCTTTGAAACCATATTCTCTTGATCCATTTCATTAAATTTCCATAAAACTTTCAAAATTCTATACCTGCTTTAGCTATGGACAGTTGAGGCAAAAAGTGTTTTCTATATTAAAAATTGGAAAAGTTTTTTTTGAATATTTTTTTGGGGAATTTAACTGTAAAATTAAGGCCATTTTATGAGCAATGACATCTCTTTGCCTTCTCCCATATTTTTGTCTAACATATTGGGTTGCCAAATATTGAAAGGCACAGGGCAACTGCCCTTCCTATCCCCTCCCTCTGACTGGCCCTGGGTACAGTACTTGAAAGAGGAAAGTGATAAATTGAGATATGACTGTTTGCCAACACAATAAGAATAAAAAGATAACATTGGAAAAACTAAAACTAGATTTCAGAAGCTTCCAATTTTATGTAAACAGTTAGCTTGTAAGAGTTTTTATATAGACAGTACTTATAAGGAAGTGGTGTGTTATCCTACAGACAATGCAAATTTTTTTCCTAGCAGTGAAAATTTTACAAAAACAAATTTGTTTTGCAGAAATGTTTTAAGTGGTGTTAAGAATTTAAAAAGAAATTTTTAGCTGATAGCTCAAAACAAACTTTTGAAAGAGATATAACAAAATTGGGTGCCAAGTCTGTAAACTTCAAAATGTTTCTAAAATGTCAGGAAAAATCAGGTCCCCTACAGATTTTTACTCTGATCTACTGTGAAGTAAAGTACCCTGTCAAAAATATGACAAAAATTTATTGTGATGCTGGGCTATCTGAGCACATCAGAAATTAGTTTGCTCAGTTTGGAGCTGGATGACATTGGAGATTGATGATGATCTGGTGAGGCAGCTGGTGTCAAGGTAGCTAGCTCCTGTGTGATTTGGAGATCATGCAGATGATAGCTTCTTAACTAACTGGGCTTTGTTAGTCAACAGTCTGCAAGTTGCTGAGGTAGCTAGGCATCAACGTAGCAACTTCAGCAGCTTTCTGCTTATGTACTTGATGGCACACAAGTAGAAAGTGGGTGCTACACATCATGATTGACTAGAATAATCATCACTACATTTCCAAGTGTGTATTGCTGCTTAATCAGTGCTACAACTGTTCCTTCATTCATCTTGTGATCTGCAATATAAAATGGATTTTCTGTGACAATCCAACTACCCAAGTTGCCTATGTGATGCAAAGTGAATGACCACCCACCAAACCTGAGATTTGAGCACAAAAAAGTGCTGCTATGTGTGTTATGGAATTGTCAAGGTATTGTTTATCTTCACTACATGCTGTCAGGTAAAACAATCAACAACAGCTACTGTGACAGATATGCTCGATAACATGGCTACAAGAATTGCCAAACCTTGCCCATTGTTTGACCAACCAGGAGAGAGTTTTATTTTATATGATGCTAAACAACACACCAGGAAGAAGACAATCTGCCAGACCTTGTCCCCTATCAGATTTTTACTTGTTTCTGTGACTGCAAAATTATCTTGATGGTCAAATGCTACTTGGACTGAAGCTACAAAAAGGTTGTAGACAATTTCTTCACTTTCAAAAAGCTTTCTTTCTTTGAGTTGGGCATAGTTCCTGGGCTACAGCTAACAATTAAAAATACTAATCCTAATTAATTTTTTGTATTATCTTTGAATAAAATAACTTTTTCATCACAGTAATTTTTGACAACTTTCTGATTTTCTGATACATAAATTGAAAAATCTCCCAATCAGAATAATCAAAAATTGTGTTTTCTAAAAATCACATAATTAATAAAATATAAGGTTATTTTTATATAATGCTGTAATTAAATTAATATATAAATATAAAATTTAAGTTCTTCATTAAATCCACCAGCTGGGTAATAGCTGCATGATATCCTCAAGAAAGAGATACAGACAATGGTTAATACTTAATGGTTAAACTAATTAAACTTATGGTACAGTACTTGTACCATGTGTTTAATTTATTTTCTTTCCTTTATCTCATCTCTTTGTTTCATATCTTAGTGCTATTTTCTTTAGGTCTGTACACCCTTTGTTTCCTTTCTGCCTTGACTGATTATTTTTTGTGTGTTGGAGCCAATGGGTATTAAAGTTTATTGGACAACAGAGGACAAGGAAAAAGTGGAGGTTTGGACTGTTTCAGGGTGAACACAGATTGGAAGAAGAAAAAGAAAGAAAAACTTAGTGCAAAAATCACACACAGGGAGAGTGAAAAGGAATCATTTACAAAGAAGACAACAGTAATGTTGGAATCTCACAAGAAAATTAGAATTTGACTTTCAATACAAAAGACAAAGCAAGTTAAGTTTCAGAAGAGAACAGTCCAAGAAGAGGATTTCCACAAGCAACATTCATCTGAAAGTGTTAACAGTCTCCTGTTGGTTTCGTTAAGTGTTAGTCAAGTAGTAATTATTATCATCATTATTCTTTCTTCATATCCTTCTTTTTCCTATTTTATAACTGCTATACTTTAAACAAATAATACTATGTATTATGCATAAACTTTTTATAATGGATCAATTGTTAAATCAGATCATGCCAACTGTTACTGTAATGATGTGTGTTCCACATATTCCCAACCGGTTTGTAATGTGATTAATCTAAAGTTCATTTGTGATAATAAATAAACTTTTACAAGCTTTTATTATATAATAATGTTCTGTTCAAAAATTTAAATGCATAAGCAATATCTTACAAAAAAAATTTTATTTCAAAGTATTTTTGTTTCTTTGATTAAAATATTGTAAATATAACCAACATTCTTGGCAGAATGCCAAACTAGGTTATCACATTCTTTGCTTACTGGTTATCATCAATTTAAAGTTTGAAAAACAAATACAATATTCTGAAGTTTGAATCACATGTCTAACATTGCTTCAAAAACTTTTGTCAATTAAAAAGAATGATTTCTACAGATTTAAATTGTCTTGTTTATTTCTGAATTAAAATATAAAGTACTTTAGTAGTACAAGTCTAATTTACACAGTTGTTTAAAATTTTTTAAATCAAAATTCTGTCAACATATATTCATATTTATGAAGAAAAATTTAAATATGCATTTTATTTTTAAAGTAATATGAAAACAATATTTTTCTGTGTTCATTTTTCTATATTATTCATTTTATTTTGTTATGGTCTAAGTACAGTACATCCCATTCTTTTTACCATTTTAAGGAGAAAAAAATAAATTTGTAACGATAATTAATGAGTATAAATTATATACATTAATCTATAATCATGTATTTGTCACCTAGTATTATAAATATCTTAATTTACAACTTTATTAAAAGAATAGTAGACTGAATTTTGTGTAAAAAGCTTGTTCACATTGTCCCTAGCTGATACTTACACAGTAGTTTTCTGAAGTAAGTTTTAATACTCACAATTAAGTTGTTTTTGAGAACATTTTTTTAATTTTAGAAAATAAAAACATATTCAGAAGTTATTCTGATTAAATATTAATTTTCAATTCATTTACAGTTTTTAGTTATATGAGTTGTTTTCAAATTAAAATAAAATAAAAATAAAAAACAAACAATTTCTAAAAATAAATATTTGAATTTTTCAAATTTTTTTTCAGATAAAAATAGCATATTTCTTTATTTTCAACATTAAGAATATTGTAAGAATTATTCTTATATATGGAAAAACTATTAAAAGAATAATAAAAAATCTGCTTTTCATTTATATACTATTATAATAAGTTGTCATAATTATATTTTATTAATTCTATATTATTCTAAAAGTGGAATTGGAAATTTCAATAATATAAAAGGAGTAAAGACATTTGATATTTGCCAATTCTCATTAAAATTGAATTGACTAAAAAAAAAAAAAAACAAAACAACAAAATTTGAAATCTCTGATTTAAAAAAAATAAATAAATAAACACGAAAAAATAACAAGGAATTTTAATTTATATATTTTATAACAAAATAAATTTAACTGACTAGTATAGCTTTCTAATTATTTATAAGAAATTAAATTATATATTATAATATTATGCAATGATGTAATTAGAGAAAATAAATATATTTTGAAATTCCATCATATAACATTCCGAGATATTTTGCTTCACGGTAAATCCACAATTACACGTATTGCATTCAAAAACCCTGGGATGTCCCGAAGGAAGTTAGGCATTACCTACTTCAAATAGATATAAAATCAATAATGATCAAAATGATAAATATTTATAATGACAGTCTATGGTTTTATTTTTTAAAATTATGAAATTGTATAATTACAAAGTCATTGTTTATAAATTGAATAACAGATGATTAACTTTTTGAGAGGATAATTTGTTTATGTAAAGATTTTAAGCCATAGAAAAGTTTATTAATACGTACAATATATATTAATAAAATATTTAAAAAAACCAATGGAGTCAGATAAATTGTCTTTACCAAATTGTACTATACCCAATTAACTAGTACACAGAGGAAAGGAGAATTATTTTTCCAGTTAATAGTACAATTGGGTAAATACAATATATCATTGAAAAGCCAAAATAATAAGAAATTTTTATTTTCTTTCAGAATTATTCATAATAATATTTCAATTAAACTGAAAACATCACTTTATAATTTCACCAAGTTCATTACACTTCAACAGAAACAAAAAAGTAATTAATGCAATGATTTACTAGAATTTTTTTAACAACTTTATAAACAATACAATTCATGCGCCTCATGTTTTTACCAATACAAATAAAATAACTCACAACACATGATTATTATATATTAATGTAGTAAACAATGATATACAAACAAGGCAAACGAAACCAATCTCCGGAAAAGAAGAAACTATCTTATAGTTTGTTCGCGTCGGAGACTGGTTTCGCGCGACTTGTTTATTAATGTATAAACGAGATAAAATCGAAAAGAAATAGCAACACTTCTATTTTTTTAACAATTAAATACGAGGAAAGAGACCGAGTTCGAACGACATTAACCCAAACAGAACAACAATGAAAAACAAATACATTTACCTCCATTCAACCTCCAATCGAGACCTTATCAGCCGTAGAGACGGAGCAAAAGTAACAGGTCCCTTCATTTAAACAACAGGCAACACTTATCGGAGAAAGAGCCGGAAAGGCTATAATTATAATCTCCATACAAAACCGTACTAAGAAGAAGAAGAAGAAGAGCAAAAGGGGTCCTACAATTCTGGAGGGGAGTGCAATTTCATTCAGAGCTTGATCTTACCTAGTTTGAATGCAAGTAAGTGCACTTTGCATCAATTGCACACACAAATTCTCGTGCCAACAGTATGACAATCAAGAATAAATACATTTAACACGATGCCAACGGTATGACACACTTAACTTCTACACATATCGTGTAACAAAATTCGAATTTTATACTATTTAAATTAAAATTAAAAAAACCATAACCACAATTTTATCCTTTAAATTATACAAAAAAAATATTAAAAAAATGATAAAAATCTTATCTTTAACTTACCAAATTTGAAGGCAATTTCGCAATCAATATTACTCAGGATAAAACACTTCCGACTGACAAAAAAGAACAATCGAGGGTTTCTCTTAATTTCGATTACACATGCAACGACGAGACTTAAAAAGCTCGGACAGTGGACGCCTATCCTTACGATATTCCCAAATAAGAAATAATTTAATCCGAAAGTGAGCACGTTTCTATACTTACACTACCGAAGGATAGGAGGAGAATTCCATAACTTCGTATCAAGACCGCATCAACAGCTCATCTGTTTAAACTCTTTACTAAGTTATTCAGTCTTTTTAATTCTTATATTTATCATCAGAGGGCGTTGTTTATCATCCTTCTCACTAGAAAGAATGTATTTCCACGAAACGAATAGAACTCACTTTACTTATTTATTTTACTTTTTAATAAAAAAAAAAAAAAAAAAAAAAGGAAAAAANTAATTTAATGTGGTTATTTAATAAAATATTGATACATATTAACATTCTAGTTATCATATAAAAGTGTTATGAATTAAATATTTTTAATATATAGTAATTCATTTACTTTATTTAATTGTAAAGTCTTAAGAAGGTGTAACTTTTAATTTGTAACAATTAAGTATTAATTTTTTTTGAAAATTAATTGTCTGACCTTTTTTTTTTTTTTTCTTTTCTTTTCAAAACTGGAAAACTGAGATGAACAGTGAATTAAAATATATTTTAATTTTAAAATTAAATGTGTATATAGGTTACGGCAGTCAAATATTAGGTCAAAAGAAGCAGAAATTATTCGAAAGATCAGTTTTTTTTTTCTTAGAAAACATATACAGGTAATCGAAAAATTAACAAGATAATAAACAAAATGTCGTAATAAAATATACGTCATAATATATTTTTCTTTCAAGTCGTTGTATAAAATCATCCAATCATCTACTCATAAAAACAAAATAAAAAAGAAAAAAATATTAAACAGAACTTATAGTATTTTTTTATGAAGTATATTCGCCCATCAATTAACCTTAATTGATGGGCGAATATATAACCCGTCAATTAACATAAATTATAACAATATATACAGGATAATTATAATTAAAGTTCCACTTTGAAATGGCCATAAAATAAAAACTACTGGACAGAATGTTATCAAACTTGGTAATAGTGCGCAGGACGTCATGGGATTTTATTTCCGGCGAAAAAAAAATAGTTCAAAAACTCACCACCAACGGAAAAATGGCGCTGTCTGCAATATTGTTAAACGAAATAAGACACGAAGACATCGTTGAAAATGTTTTTAATCGGTTTCAAAGTGAAACTTTAATTATAATTATCCTGTATAATACACTCACTGCCAAAAGTTAAGCACGGAGCAGAAAATGTTTATGTCCGGAAAGCAATCTGCATTTGAGAGGCTGCAATTCACTGCAGAGGTAGGTGGAAGTATGCAAATATGTTACGTTACTATCAATCATGGTTACGTGTCACAAAATATGCAAAAGAGGCAGTCATATAAGAAGCCAGCCTTCTGAAGTGTGAGAGGAGTTGCATGTAAGTGCCGAGAAAAAGTGTGGAGAACTGTTGTACAATTAGTGTGCATGACTGATGTGTTTTTATGACTTCCAGAATACGAATGACAGACAGTGAGTGCTGGTGGTGTGTGGGATGCCTTGAAGCAGGACAATCAATCACAGATGTTGCTCTTTTCTTTGGCATTCATCATTCCGTCATTTCACGGTTATGGAAACAATTCCAAACAAGCCAAACAGTAGTCTGAAGACCTGTGGCCGGTCGCCCAAGAGTTACGATCCCTGCAGAAGATCACTATATTGCTGTTGTAGCCAAGCAGAATCAAAGAGCAACCTCTACACATGTGACATCAATGGTTGCAGCAGCCATTGGTAAAACGATATCTGCTGCTACTGTGCGCCGAAGGCTACACATGAACGGACTGTACGTCTGGGTACCATGAATTTGTGTTCCACTATCCGTCCAATCCAGAGGCACACGATTAAAGTGGTGTCTGCAACATGTGAATTGGACTGTGTCTGATTGGGGCAACGTTATGTTCATGGATGAGTTGCAATTTTCTCTGGAGCCAGATTACAAACATGTAAGAGTATGGAAAGAAAAAGGCACATGCAATTGACCCCAGAACATCATCGAGCATCATGCATTCTGAGGTGGAAGCATTATGGTGTGGCAGGCATTTCTTTGGGATATCGCACCGACTTGCACATCAATCGAGGGGGTTCTGTAATGGCTGTCCGGTATCGGGATGTAGTCCTCGAACCCATTGTGAAATTGTTTGCTGCAGCAGTTGGTCCTGCTTTTGTTTTAATGGATGATAATGCACGACCCCGTAGAGCTGCCCTCGTCGACGACTGCCTCGAGAGTGAGGGAATCGCGCGTATGGATTGGCTGGCGTATTCACCAGACCTCAATCCCATTGAGAATCTTTGGGATACCCTCGGCCGTGCTGTGTGTGCACGTTTTCCCCCTGCCACTCTCACTGAGTTACAAACTGCTCTACAGGAGGAATGACACTTATTTGATTCTGGAGTGGTTGATCACCTTATGGAAAGCATGGTTACATGCTGTGAACTTTGTGTAAGGATAAGGGGCGACCATTTACCTTATTAATGTCAGTTTTGTTTGTTTGTTTGTTTTGGATTTAAACATCGTTTTGTTAATGATTCCAATATGATTTCATCTTATACTTTATGAAAATTCAATATTATTTTCATTTTTCTATGTAATTCTTTGTGCTGTTTCATGCACAAACATATTTGCAACTATCCTGCCGCATTTCGTGCCAATCACAGCTGTATTTGTCTATTTTTTCGCAGTTTATCGCTTTGTGCTTAACTTTTGGCAGTGAGTGTATACTTTATGAATCACAAAACGGTAAAAAAGGACCGTTGAGGACATGGATTACAAGAGAAAAGAAGTGATTGCCGAATCAAGTCATCAAATGAAAATAAAGATTGCGTGAAGAAATTTTGGCTTCAAACAAAGAACTCTTCATTATGATGAGTCTTATTTCCTACTCGATAATTCCCAATAAATCACATTATGGTGCGGCTATTGATCCAAATTTTCTATCAAGCTTTGAGTCTGGATTGCCATCAGTAAATATAGTCGTTCAGAACCTTACTTCCATTTATCGAAGGGTGGAATAACAATAAAAGGGTGGAACAATAAACGAAATTAAATCTCTTTTAGTTCCATATGTGCACAAAATTGAAGAAACTAATGCCATCTTTTTACTGCTTATTATGCGAAAAGAACTGTTGTGTAAATTGGCAATTAATTTTGTCCTAATGGATGAAAACCCTCCTTGCTCCTCACAGCTCAGACTTTTTGAGAGCTTTTGGTCTCATTTAAAAAATGATCTGTAAGGATAATTTTCGCGCAGAAAACAAAGAAAAACTCATTAAAAGAATCAAAGAAAAACACTAACGTTTTATGAAGAATATTTTGTAAGACTCGTGCAATCGATCAAGACCCGTTCGCCTTACCTCATACAATGAACTTCCCGCAATCACTCAGTGAGATTAATACTGATTAACGTAAATTATTCTATGCTGTTATGACATAAATTAGAACGTTTATTTTCATTACAGTAGAGTCTCGAAAACGCGTCCTAATGTGGACCGAAGGGTGGCCGAGTTTGTGAAAATGCCGGGTTATCGGGAATGGTGTTAAAAAAAATAAGTATGAGTGTTTCCTCAGAAAATACTGTACTGTACTTGTATGTATTGTTTACTTGAGAATACAACAGAGAATAAACTGCCCAAATACCCTTAAACAAAGGAAAAGTACGTCCTTTATGAAGGCATAGAGCCTTTACTACATGAAAATGAAAATTAATGAATACACTGTGTACAGTAATTTACCTGATAAGACAGACCTCAGAAAAATACTTTATGTGCATAAAGCTGTCTATAATGAAAATTAATTAACTATGGATTTTTTTGCCCTGCCACGATGTGGCCGAGTTATCCGGACTGCCGGGTTATCGAGTGTCGAGTTTTTACTGTATTAATAAATTTTTTTGACAACCTTACAGATAAACGAGGCAAGATATAGATCGAGCACTATGTTGCTCCCTTTTCCCTTTTACATTCTTTATTAAATAATTTTCTAATGTTTAGATTAAAAAAACCGAGTTTATTTTACTTAAAATTTGTCAAAATTATGAAAATTTGTTGAAGTTTATGACGATAAAAATAATCAAATAATTTTTAGTACTGTAGTTCTTATGACAAATTCAGTAACAAAACACCTAATTATTGACATGGGTTGTAATATATTTTATTTAGAAGTTACAGTCAACAAGTAAAAATTTTTTTCTGATTCTTTTTAACAGGAATTGGATAAAATAAAATTAGAAGAATAAATTTGAACCGCTGGCTTTATTTGAAAATAATGGCTAATAAAAGAACGAATTAGTATGAATATAAAATTAAAATATTAAAGAAAAGGTTATATTTTGTTCAAAAAAAGTATAACCTTTATAGGATAAATTCGAAAATTTCTTTCTATACATTTACTTTAACGATATATTAATAAGAAAAATACAGGTAAATGATGCGACTGCTTCAAGGTCTACCAGTCAAAGAATGATTCTATTGATAGAATTTTTTTTATAATAAACTATACACTAAATATTATTCAAATAATTTTAAAGTTTTATTTGTTATTAATTAAATTAATTAAATAATACTTAAAATTGCAAATTGCACCAATATATACTGTATATAATATGTGGCAATTTTTTTACAATTCATGCAAATAACGGCGAAACATCGCCTGTATTATTAATAAATAAATAAAATAATTTATACACAACAAAAAGCTTGATTTCAGCTTTTGTTTAAGCTAATTATAATAAAACCTGTCTAAAGCGGAACCCGAATAAAACGGAAAAATCTTCGAAACAAAGCG